CATGTTATCATTAGTGTAAACCTTATAATGTCTACCATGTTCTCACTTTTGTAGACCTAATACAGTCTACCATAACAGTGTCTTCAATGTTCTCACTACTGTAGACCTAGTAATGCCTACCATGTTCTCACTATTGTACACTGAATAATGTCTACCATGTTCTCCCTTCTGTAGACCTTACAATGTCTACCATGTTCTCACTACTGTAGACCTAAGGTAGCAATACACAGTTAGGATAAAAACTTAAAATTGATACTCATAATTTTTAACCACCCTCTCTCCCTTCCTTTCTAACAAAAAAGGCTTAATATTTGTGTATATTTATGGAATGAGCACCTTCCATAGATTTGATTTCCAATAGTCGTAATGGTGAAATATCTCTTTTTGGTGTAACCATGGCAACAATCTGCATTCATTTGATTCAAAATATTGCAAAAAGGGGGATGAAAATGTCACAAAAGTCTCCAAAATTTGGTCCAAAGGAGAATTTCAATCCAGTAGAAGGGGACCTTTCCTGAAAACATACACATTCATCTACCAAGAGGTCTCAAACAATCATTTGCATTTTTGCTCATTTTTCCATAAAAATGAATTGAAAAGATCGAGGGTCAAATCTTTGTTGAAAAACACTACAATAATTTCTGGACCTATGGACGGTACCGATGTGAAGATATGGACTGTCAAACAGACAAATGGTCTATAAAACATGCTAAAAACAATCTAAATATTCATATAAACCCAATTAGAAGGCTATAACTATCTAAAAATCAATTTTATTCTACAAACATTTTCATATTTAAAAGAAATCACCATGGCCAAAATGCAAAACTAAACTTCTAACTGTGTATTGCTACCTAATACTGACAACCATATAGACCTTATAATGTTTATCATGTTCTCCCTACTGTAGACCTAATACTGTCAACCATGTTCTCACTATTGTAGACCTTATAATTTCAACCATGTTCTGACTACTGTAGACCGTATACTGTCTACCATGTTTTTCACAACTGTAAACCTTATACTGTCTTCCATGTTCTCACTATTGTAAACCTGATAATGTCTTTCATGTTCTCACTACTGTAGACCGTATACTGTCTACCATGTTTTTCACTACTGTAGACCTTATACAGTCTACCATGTTCTCTCTATTGTAGACCTAATGTCAACCATGTTCTCACTATTGTAGACCTAATAATATCTACCATGTTGTCACTATTGTAGACCGTAAACTGTCTATCATGTTTTTCACTACTGTAGACCTAATAATGTCTACCATATTCTCACTCCTGTAGACCTAATACTGTCTACCATGTTCTCACTATTGTAGACCTTATGATGTCTACCATGTTCTCACTACTGTAGACCTAATACTGTCTAACATGTTCTCAGTATTGTAGATCTAATACTATCTACCATGTTCTCACTACTGTATACCTAATACTGTCTAACATGTTCTCACTATTGTAGACCTAATACTGTCTACTATGTTCACTATTGTAGATCTGATACTGTCTACCATGTTCTCACTACTGTAGACCTAAAACTGTCTGCCATGTTCTAATTGTAGATCTAATAATGACTACCATGTTCTCCCTACTGTATACCTTATAATGTCTACCATATTCTCACTACTGATGACCTAAAAATGTCTACCATGTTCTCACTATTTTAGACCTTATACTGTCTACCATGTTCTCACTATTGTAGACCTTATACTGTCTACCATGTTCTCACTTTTGTAGACCTTATAATGTCTACCATGTTCTCTCTCCTGTAGACCTAATACTGTTTACCATGTTCTCACTACTGTAGACCTAATAATGTCAACCATGTTCTCACAACTGTAGACTTTATAATGTCTACTATGTTCTCACTAATGTAGACCTATTAATGTCTACCATGTTCTCACTACTGTAGACATGATGTTTATCATGTTCTCACTACTGTAGACGTAATACTGTCTACCATGTTCTCACTACTGTATACCTTAAAACGTCTACCGTGTTCTCACTACTGATGACCTAAAAATGTCTACCATGTTCTCACTACTGTATACCTTATAATGTCTACCATGTTCTCAATACTGATGACCTAAAAATGTGTACAAGTTCTCACATCTGTAGACCTAATAATGTCTACCATGTTCTCACTAATATAGACCTAATTATGTCTACCATGTTCTCACTAATATAGACCTAATTATGTCTACCATGTTCTCACTACTGTAGACCCAATAATGTCAACCATGTTCTCACTACTATAGACCTAATACTGTCTACCATGTTATCATTAGTGTAAACCTTATAATGTCTACCATGTTCTCACTTTTGTAGACCTAATACAGTCTACCATAACAGTGTCTTCAATGTTCTCACTACTGTAGACCTAGTAATGCCTACCATGTTCTCACTATTGTATACTGAATAATGTCTACCATGTTCTCCCTTCTGTAGACCTAACAATGTCTACCATGTTCTCACTACTGTAGACCTAAGGTAGCAATACACAGTTAGGATAAAAACTTAAAATTGATACTCATAATTTTTAACCACCCTCTCTCCCTTCCTTTCTAACAAAAAAGGCTTAATATTTGTGTATATTTATGGAATGAGCACCTTCCATAGATTTGATTTCCAATAGTCGTAATGGTGAAATATCTCTTTTTGGTGTAACCATGGCAACAATCTGCATTCATTTGATTCAAAATATTGCAAAAAGGGGGATGAAAATGTCTCAAAAGTCTCCAAAATTTGGTCCAAAGGAGAATTTCAATCCAGTAGAAGGGGACCTTTCCTGAAAACATACACATTCATCTACCAAGAGGTCTCAAACAATCATTTGCATTTTTGCTCATTTTTCCATAAAATTGAATTGAAAAGATCGAGGGTCAAATCTTTGTTGAAAACACTACAATAATTTCTGGACCTATGGACGGTACGGATGTGAAGATATGGACTGTCAAACAGACAAATGGTCTATAAAACATGCTAAAAACAATCTAAATATTCATATAAACCCAATTAGAAGGTTATAACTATCTAAAAATCAATTTTATTCTACAAACATTTTCATATTTAAAAGAAATCACCATGGCCAAAATGCGAAACTAAACTTCTAAGTGTGTATTGCTACCTAATACTGACAACCATATAGACCTTATAATGTTTATCATGTTCTCCCTACTGTAGACCTAATACTGTCAACCATGTTCTCACTATTGTAGACCTTATAATTTCAACCATGTTCTGACTACTGTAGACCGTATACTGTCTACCATGTTTTTTCACAACTGTAAACCTTATACTGTCTTCCATGTTCTCACTATTGTAAACCTGATAATGTCTTTCATGTTCTCACTACTGTAGACCGTATACTGTCTACCATGTTTTTCACTACTGTAGACCTTATACAGTCTACCATGTTCTCTCTATTGTAGACATAATGTCAACCATGTTCTCACTATTGTAGACCTAATAGTATCTACCATGTTCTCACTATTGTAGACCGTAAACTGTCTATCATGTTTTTCACTACTGTAGACCTTATACTGTCTACCATGTTTTTCACTAGTGTAGACCTTATACTGTCTCCCATGTTCTCACTACTGATGACCTTATAATGTCTACCATTTTCTCACTATTGTATACCTAATAATGTCTACCATGTTCTCACTACTGTAGACCTTATAATGTCTACCATGTTCTCACTACTGTAGACCTTATAATGTCTACCATGTTCTCACTACTGTAGATCTATTTTGTCTACCATGTTTTCACTCCTGTACACCTAATACTGTCTACCATGTTCTCACTACTGTAGACCTAATAATGTATACCATGTTCTCCCTACTGTAGACCTAATACTGTCAACCATGTTCTCACTATTGTAGACCTTATAATTTCAACCATGTTCTGACTACTGTAGACCGTATACTGTCTACCATGTTTTTCACAACTGTAAACCTTATACTGTCTTCCATGTTCTCACTATTGTAAACCTGATAATGTCTTTCATGTTCTCACTACTGTAGACCGTATACTGTCTACCATGTTTTTCACTACTGTAGACCTTATACAGTCTACCATGTTCTCTCTATTGTAGACCTAATGTCAACCATGTTCTCACTATTGTAGACCTAATAATATCTACCATGTTCTCACTATTGTAGACCGTAAACTGTCTATCATGTTTTTCACTACTGTAGACCTTATACTGTCTACCATGTTTTTCACTAGTGTAGACCTTATACTGTCTCCCATGTTCTCACTACTGATGACCTTATAATGTCTACCATTACCTCACTATTGTATACCTAATAATGTCTACCATGTTCTCACTACTGTAGACCTTATAATGTCTACCATGTTCTCACTACTGTAGATCTTATAATGTCTACCATGTTCTCACTACTGTAGACCTTATAATGTCTACCATGTTCTCACTACTGTAGACCTATTTTGTCTACCATGTTTTCACTCCTGTACACCTAATACTGTCTACCATGTTCTCACTACTGTAGACCTAATAATGTATACCATGTTTTCACTCCTGTAGACCTAATAATGTATACCATGTTTTCACTCCTGTAGACCTAATAATGTATACCATGTTTTCACTCCTGTAGACCTAATATTGTCTACCATGTTTTCACTCCTGTAGACCTAATACTGTCTACCATGTTTTCACTACCGGTGACCTTATAATGACTACCATGTTCTCCCTTCTGTAGACCTTATATTGTCAATCATGTTCTCACTACTGTAGACCTTATCACGACTCGTACTGATATCAGGTCAGGTGATAATATTAACAGCACCAATTTTACTGCATCATTAGCACATTACAATAATGTCTCTACAGTGTTGCTCGAGGCCAAACACTGTGGAATTTTTTTTTTAGTATCGTTTTTCGTGGACTTCATTGAGAAAGTTGAACAACGAATATAACTGTTTTACGAATTTTGATTTCCTATGGGCTTATATGAAAAATTTGGCAAAACCATGAAATCAAGAATCTACGAAAATTGAAACACTAAAATATATGAATCATCAGTATTTAAAAACACAAAATATAAAATTGTGGATTCATTTATTTTCGTGGGTATCAATTTTCGTGGATGAGGAAAACTTGCATTGTCGTGGATATTTGATTTCGTTTTTTGACAATCTCTGCATACAAAGCCTATTGAAAAATTGTAATTCGTTGAACATTTGAATTCATGGTTAACCTGTATCCACGAAATCCATGAAAATTGGTATCCAACGAATAATAATGAATCCACAGTACAAGCGTTGTATATCTTATCAAACCTTAAAGATGAAAGTTAGCGAACAAATTCGTTTTGTTGAAATATAATAAGAAATTTATCTTCATTTAATTTGTTAAAACATCAATACGCACTACAAGATATTTCATTGATCCAATTATGGCGCCCATTGATGAGAATAGTAATCATTCATAAGAAAACATATATTTCCATTAAACAAAAATAAAATCTTTGATTAACAATGCCTAATTAGAATGAGAAGACAAATAATTACAAAAAGAAACGAAACATAAACATGTAAGAATAAATAATTAAAATTTTCCAAAGTTAAGGAAATTGTTTTGGACATAATTTGTCAAGAAGATAAAAAAAGATTTTTTTTCATTCAACATATTTATCAAGTTATAGTAAATATTTATTTCTTCGATTTCCATTAAAGTTAAGTATGTCCAAGTTGGAGGCAAAATCTACAAAAAAATCAAATTTAGTCCTTAACATTAATATGTTTATTAATATTGAGAACATTGAATTTGATTTACATATCCAGCACTGCAATTTTTTTTAAATGATAGCATAGTAAGCATGTAAACATAAGTGATTTATTTAGTCGAAGTCTGTCTTCCTAGGCACAAACAACTTAACCAAAGAAACATATCGTTTTAAACTAAGACTACTTCTCTATCATAGAACTACATGTTTCAATATTTATGCATTTTCCTAACAATAAATCCAAAAGTCTTTTCAACATAAATGCAGCTTTCCTAAAAATCGAAGCATATGTGATAACTATACTACACTAACAGAGTATTCTTTACAATAAACCATATCTCTCTACTATAGTAACATACCTGATTATAATAGGCTTTCAATATCAAACTGTCAATGTAACACGAATCAAAATAAACTAAGCACATGTTTAAAACTTAAAATTGCATTAATGACAGACTTTAAAGCATTTAAAAAATGTTTAAAATTAAAGTTCTAACTTTAATTTCAATCTACTTTCTGACTGGAATGTTGATAAATCATAGCAGCTATAGCACCAAAACCTAAAGAAGAGGCTATGATTAAAGCCGACCTGCCCCTCTTGTCACATCTATTATAGTCTGCTCCTCTGTCCAACAACATTTTCACTATTTTTGTATGCCCATGTCTACAAGCCTTCATTAAAGGTGACTGACCATCATCATCACATTTATTATAGTCTGCGCCTCTGTCCAACAACATCTTCACTATTTCTGTATGCCCATGTCTACAAGCCTTCATAAAAGGTGACTGTCCCGTCCTGTCACATTTATTATGGTCTGCTCCCCTGTCTAACAACATTGTTACTATTTCCATATGACCATGTTCACAAGCCTTCATAAAAAGTGACGGATTATCATCATCACATTTATTATAGTCTGCTCCCCTGTCTAACAACATTTTCACTATTTCTGTGTAACCATGTTCGCAAGCCTTCATTACAGGTGACTGACCATCATCATCACATTTATTATAGTCTGCTCCTCTGTTTAACAGCATGTTTACTATTTCTGTATAACCATGATCACAAGCCTTCATTAAAGTTGATTGTCCCGTCCTGTCACATTTATAATGGTCTGCTCCCCTGTCTAACAACATTTTCACTATTTCTGTGTAACCATGTTCACAAGCCTTCATTAGAGTTGACTGACCCGTCCAGTCACATTTATTATGGTCTGCTCCCCTGTCTAACAACATTGTAACTATTTCCATATGACCGTGTTCACAAGCCTTCATAAGAGATGACTGCTCACTCCTGTCACATTTATTATAGTCTGCTCCTCTTTCTAACAACATCTTCGCTATTTCTGTATGGCCATGTCTACAAGCCTTCATTAGAGGTGTCTTGTCACTCCTGTCACATTTATTACAGTCTGCTCCTTTATCCAACAAAATCCTCACTATTTCTGTATGACAATATTTACAAGCCCTTATAAGGAGTGAATGATCTCTCTTGCCACATCTATTATAGTCTGCTCCGCTGTCCAATAACGTTTTCACTATTTCTGTATGACCATGTTCACAAGCATTCATTAACGGTGACTGATTATCTTCATTACATTTATCACATTCTGCTCTGCTGTTTAACAACATCTTCACTATTTCTGTATGACCATATTTACAGGCCTTCATTAGAGGTGACTGACCATCATCATCACATTTATTACAGTCTGCTCTTCTGTCTAACAACATCTTCACTATTTCTATATGACCATATTTACAAGCCTTTATAAGAGGTGACTTACCAACAAAGTCAAATTTATTACAGTCTGCTCCTCTGTCCAACAACATCTTCACTATTTCTGTATGACCAAGTTCACAAGCATTCATTAAAGGTGACTGATCATTTGTATTACATTTATTACAGTCTGCTCCCCTGTCTAATAACATCTCCAATATTTCTATATGACCATTCTCACAAGCATACATTACTGGTGACTGACCATCACTATCTAATTTATTACAGTCTGCTCCTTTTTCTAACAATATCTTCACTATTTCTATTTGACCATGTTCACAAGCATGCATTACAGGTGACTGGCCATTCCTGTTGCGTTTATTACAGTCTGCTCCTCTGTCTACCAACATCTTCACTATTTCTGTATGCCAATATTGACAAGCGTATAATACAGGTGAATAACCATATTCATTGCATTTATTGTATTCTGCTCCATTGTCTAACAACAACTTTACTATATCTGTATGACCATATTCACAAGCCTCCATTACAGGTGACTCGCCATGACAATCACATTTATTGCAGTCTGCTCCATTGTCTAACAACATCATGACTATTTCTGTATGACCATGTTCACAAGCCTTCATAAGAGGGGACTTATCATTAAAGTCACACTTATTACAGTCGACTTCATTGTCTAACAACATTGTTACTATTTCTGTGTGCCCATGTTCACAAGCCTTCATTACAGGTGATTGACCAACTTCATCACATTTATTACAGTCTGCTCCTTTGTCTAACAACATCTTAACTATTTCTGTATGACCATCTACACAAGCCATCATTACAGGTAACTGACAAGAATCATCACATTTATTACAATCTGCTTCTCTGTCTAACAATATCTTAACTATTTCTGTATGGCCATGTTCACAAGCCTTCATAAGAGGGGACTTACCATTAAAGTCACACTTATTACAGTCTGTCTCTCTGTCTAGCAACATCTTTACTATTTCTGTATGGCCATGTTCACAAGCCTTTATTACAGGTGATTGATCCCTCCAGTTACATTTATTGCAGTCTACTCCTCTGTCTAACAACATCTTTACTATTTCTGTATGGCCATGTTCACAAGCATACATTAGAGGTGATTGATCACCACAATCACATTTATTACAGTCTACTCCTTTGTCTAATAACATCTCTACTATTTCTAAATAACCATGTTCACAAGAATACATTAAGGCTGACTTCCCCTGCCATCCTCTCTTATTACAGTCTGCTCTTCTATTTAACAAGATCCTTACTATTTCTGTATGACCATGTTCGCAAGCATTCATTAGAGGTGAATGATTATGATCATTACATGTATTACAGTCTGCCCCCCTGTCTAACAACATCTTTACTATTTCTGTATAACCATGTTTACAAGAATACGTTAATGCTGACTGACCATTCGAGTCATATTTATTACAGTCTGCTTCTTTGTCTAACAACATCTTCACTATTTCTGTATGACCATGTTCACAAGCATACATTAAAACTGACTGACCATACCTGCCACATTTATTACAGTCTATTCCCCAATCTAACAACATCTTTACTATTTCTGTATGACCATGTTCGCAAGCCTTTGTAAAAGATGAATTACCATACTCGTCACATTCATTACAGTTGGCTCCTTTGTCTAACAACATCTTTACTATTTCCGTATGACCATGCTCACTAGCATACATTACAGGTGACAAGCCATACACGTCGCATGTGTTACAGTCCGCTCCTCTGTTTAACAACATCTTTACTATCTCTGTATAACCATGTTCACAAGCCTTCATAAGAGGTGACTGATCCATCTTCCAATCACATCTATTGTAGCCTGCTCCACTATTTAACAATAGATTCACTATTTCTGTATGACCATATTCACAAGCAGACATTACAGATGAATGACCATCATCATCACATTCATTACAGTCTGCGCCTCTGCCTAACAACATCTTGACTATTTCTGTTTGCCCATGTTTACAAGCCTTCGTTAAAGGTGAGTCACCAAGGCTGTCACATTTGTTACAGTCTGCTCCTCTGTCTAACAACATCTTTACTGTTTCTGTATGACCATTTATACAAGCCTTCATTAAAGATGACCGACCAGACACGTCAAATTTATTGTAGTCTATTCCTATGTCCAACAACATCTTTACTATTTCTGTATGGCCATGTTCACAACCATACATTAAGGGTGACAGACTATAGCCGTCACACTTATTGTAGTCTGCTCCTCTGTCTAACAACATCTTAACTATTTCTGTATGACCATGTTTACAAGCTATCGTTAAAGGTGAATTACTATACCCATCACATCTATTACAGTCTGCTCGTCTGTCCAACAACATCTTTACTATTTCTGTATGGCCATTTTCACAAGCCAGCATTACAGGTGACTTATCATATCCATCACATCTATTACAGTCTGCTCCTCTGTCCAACAACATCTTAACTGTTTCTGTATGACCTTGTTCACAAGCCAGCATTACAGGTGACTGATATTTCAGCCCATCACATCTATCAAATTCTGCTCCTCTATCTAACAACATATTTACTATTTCTATGTGACCATGTTTACAAGCATACATTACAGGTGACTGAGTGATCTTGTCACATTTATTACAATCGGCTCCTATGTCTAACAGCATCTTTACTATTTCTATATGACCACGTTCGCACGCCTTCAGTATAGGTGACTGACATTTATCATCAAATTTATTATAGTCTGCTCCTCTCTCTAACAACTCTTTAACTATATCTATGTAACCATGTTTACAAGCAATCATTATTGGTGACTGATCGTTAGATGTACATCTGTTTACATTTACACCATGATCACAACACCACCTGACCAATGAAGTGTCTCCTATATGACAACAATGTAATAAAGAAGTTTCATAGGTGTCATTATCATAACACATCATTGAAAAGGGGTTTTTAAATCGGTTTTCTTCATCACAAATATTTGCCAGTTGTCTCTGATAAGATATATCTTGTGTTTTTATATAGCAGAGAAATTTATTTCTGAACTGAGGTATCTTCATATTGATGTTACTAAACACATCCTGTAATTTTCCATTTGACCAGTCATCAATCATTTTCTGTATGTACATCTGATGATACTCTGTAGGTATAATAGTAATAAACTGATCCGTGTCATCCTTTCTTTCTAATAAAAATCTTTCCTTAATCAAACCACTGTCTGCGTTCCTTATCAAGCAAGATATTATCTTTTGTCCATAGATCTTAACAAGAAAGTCAAATATTTTATCATGTAAAATTTTATACATGTTTTGTTCTTTCTTTATAAATGTATATGTGAGTGATTCAAGTTCATCTTTAAATAAAAGTCTTGACGTTCCCCGGTTTAATCTACATGCCTCACATGTGTTCTCAATAATGTCCATGGTTTCTTTATTCACCTTTTCTGTAAGCATTTCTGCTTTCAATTTGTTGTTAAACATGATACATAAAGCCAAAGAACAATATTTAAAAAGATGCCCCTCCTTCATAAAATTATCAATCTCTGCTTCATAAACTGAATAAGGATTCTGAAAGAAATCTGTAATCATACGTTCAGGCTTATCATGGTACAATTTACATAAAAGAGGAAAACAGTCATAAATATCATGATAGTCACTTATCTCAGAGGCTTTTGCATTGAGATACAATTGCGCTATTGATTTCTTTTCAGTTTCTGACAAGCAAATGTTCTTTGATAACATGTTACATACACATGACTTAAAAACTGATAAAGATTCAAACTTTTCATCTTGGTACACTTGTAACCGACATGCTGCAAGTATTTTTGTATTTTTCATCGGATTTTCCTTTATATTGTTAAGTATTGGTTTCCAACTTTTAATGTCACTCTTGTCAACTGAAAAGTTTCCACATAAATCATCAACAACAAACAATGTTTCTTTTTTAGGATTGTTAAACCTCAGAATGTCGCCTGGCTCTGTCACCATAAGTACATCATATCCTTCTCCTCTCATTTGTAAAGCTACATGTCTCAGTGTTGCTGTCTTCCCTACACCAGAGCTAGCCGTGATCGTTACAAAATTATTTTCCTTGATACATTTAAGTACGTACTGGGCAGCTCGTGTATTTATAAACATGGTATCATCATTGTCCTTCCAATCTTTTAGTGTGTCATTAATTCTTTCTGAAATAATAAATGAGGGGAAAGTTTATTATTACTGACATAGAAATATCTGGATACAATTGTTTATCATTTCATTATATAAAAAGCACAAATTAAGTTTTCATCCAGACAAGGAAATCTTTCTTTACAGGAATTTCAATTTTAAAATTTGTGTTGAAGTTTTGCTTAATGCCTATAGCTGTTTTGTTTATATATTCTAGACATTTAAGTATTTTGACCATATAGATTAATAAACTCATCATAGATACAATGATTGAAATTTGTATTTGCGCTAGACCCGCGTTTCGTCTACAAAAAAACTCATCAATCACGCTCGAATCAAAAAAGTTAAAAAGACTAAATAAAGTACGAAGTTGAAAACATTTAATACTGCCGAGAGAAGACAAAAAACATTTACACCCTGCAGATCAAGACGATATTATAAAGTGAGAAGCTTGTTTCCTTTTAGGTAAATATGGTGTACGGCAGTCATATGAATGTAACGCTATTAAAAGAAGATAAAGATCTTCTAAAACACTTTTAAAAACTGGTATGACTTCAAAAGGTTTTGTTATTACTTCACTAAGCACCGGGAGCTAGCAAATCATCCTTTACAACCAAAAGTTAAGGTAAACGCAGGAAAGCAATGGTACTTTGTGGAAGAAATGCCATGCATCAATAACATTAGTGATGAAATTTAATTCGAACTTTGGTGGATAGTTGTCTCATCGGCAATCATACCATATCTCCTTATTTATGTAATATATTTTGTGATCTACAATTATCAGATGTTTTATAATTCCTGTATAATTTTAAATAATACATGTTCATGTTTGTGTACTTTATTAAGTAGGACAAGTGTAATGCTTATAATTCAACCTGACGCCAAAATAATATATACTTTACTAAAACCACAAATTTCTCTATTCGTCTCCTTTCACGGAATTCATTTGGTTGTTCAGACTATTTTCTTGTGAAAGATTCACACAGCTACAAGTATTTTGCACTGAATTAATGGTAAACCTTAAAGGCTATTACTTATACATGTTACTCTGTCATTTTGCTATTGCTGCCAAACCAAAAAAAAATCACGTAATATCATTTCCGCAATGTACACAAGCAATTACATGTTTATTCAGTTTTCTACGTAATTGAGTTAAAAATCAATTGTTAGCAAGAATTCAAGTTGCAGACTGCCTTAAAATGCTGAAGCAATAATTTATTTAGATAATAATATTTCCAGATTTGACATTCTCATTAATCTGAAATCCAATGGTTTCTTTGAAGAGTTTTGACATGACCTATCATTTAAAGGTATTAAGATGACCTCCTAGGATTGCTTTCTACCATCCTATGAATTAACCTGACCTCCTATGTTTAAACCTCACATTCAAAAGTGCTAATCTGACATCCCATTTCATATTCCTTTACATCCAAAATTATGAGCTTGACCTTCCTTGTTAACCTCTAGTCAAGTAATCAATCTATCAGCAATGAATAGATGGTGTATTCCATTCCAAGAAATCAATTAAAATCTGATCTCTCAATAATTTGTGTACCCCATGTCCCCTCAAACTTTTTACCTCTACTATTCCAAGTCACAGTATCCTCCTGAACAGTCTTCAATATTTCCATTTCCTTTGTTACTTTCCTATGGTCAACCTGTAATATCTCATGGGCTTTCTTTACTTCTGTATGGTCATCCTGTAATATCTCATGGGATTTCTTTACTTCGGCATGGTGTTCTTGTAATAATTCATGAGATTTTTTCGTTTCAGTATGTGACAGTTTCAGACTTTCAAATGATTCTCTTAGCTCTCGGATTTCATTATAAGAATGTTTGATTGCCATCATTATTTCTTTGTTGGTTTGATCTAATGGTTTGGTTTTTAGATGATCACACTCCTGCTTCATTTGCTGCCCACCTAGTCTATCTATAGTCTATAAAATATAGAACGATACTTTTCACGTAATATTTATAGTTTTACACAATATTTATTTCCGCAATTATTTTATGATTTATTTCGCTTTTGTTATTCTCGATCAATTCAAAAAAACTTGCAGGTTCACTAGGGACAATTTAGATTTTCGTCTTCGATAAGAACCAATAATCAATTGCATCATCTAACAGCTCACACAGCTCTCATAGACAAAATTAACCTGATTAGTAGCTTTTGGTAAAGTAGTATTGATTTATTATTATAGAGTAATACCACCTTTGTTTTCCCCAATTAGTCTTTGTTACATTGATACATTTCATAAAAGTGTTTCAAATAATAAAAAACTTGGCATGTGAGAAGTTTTATTCTGTTCAGTACTACAGTAAAAATTTCTCGTTACATTTCATTCCATATAAGATTATAACTGTCACCGGAATTAACCGATCACATTTTCACCCCTTTTTACTGTTTACAAGGCTAAGTTACCATGTCACCAGAAGTTTCCAAAATATTTGATGGAAACACCAACTAAAAAAGAATGGTGTTTTGAGACACCCAAAATATATGTGTATGGCTCACGTGGCAATGAAATGCAAAGTTCATTTCCTAGCTTCAAAGCAAGGTTTAATCCATCATTTTTTACATAAGAAAATGCCTGTACCAAGTCAGAAATATGACAGTTGTTATCCATTCGTTTGATGTGTTTGATCTTTAGATTTTGCCATTTGATTAGGGACTTTCCGTTTTGAATTTTCCTCGGATTTCAGTATTTTTTTTATTTTACTTTTTTCCAAAAAACTAAGATTTGAAAACTTTTTAAAATGTTGAATTGAGTGTTACACGTACCGAAATTGCTTTATTAGAGATTTCCAATAAAATGACATACGTACCTAACTCGACGTACGCACGTAACGGGACCGGTTATTGCTAACCTATTAATTTTGTTAAATGCGTCATTCAAGTTTTAACTCAGTATTCCTAAACTATAAAACCCATTCAGGATAAATTTTATCAATATCAAGTATTTCTAAGATAATGAAAAACGAAAGAAATCATCATTTTTATATATCACGTGATTATTGAGATTCCCGCCAAAACGTCACTGTCATAAGACCACGTATATACACGTATCTTTACCTATCATACGATTTGAGTTGTCTTTCATGGTTTTGACCATGACTTTGTTCTTTTATATACTTTGCAAATGAACCTTTTATTATTTAATATTTGACATGCTTTTATTTGACGTTATCAGATTGGTGTCCCTTTTTCCTTTCGTCCCTTTATGTTTTATAACATTTAATTTCCTGGGTATTTATTATATGACAGAGATTTTTCTAGCAATTTCAGAAATATCGAATTCAAAGTGTTAGTCAGAATTTGTCTCTGTTAAAGTTGATAACTGGGATTGCATCATACTTTATTAAGCATCATTTCAAACGATCTCTTCTTCTGTGGTTAATCTTGTTTATTTATAATCTCCGATTTTTTCCCCAAGGGAAAACGTTCGACAAAGGGATGTGTATATTTAAAAATAATTAATACAGGTCTTGTACTTCTTTAAATTTTAATAGTTGACATACACTTTTCTTTCAAATAAAAGTCAACTAACATAAAAAAAAAAGAATTTTGTAATTAATAATGATATATGTAAATAAATGTGTACACCAATTCGTTATATAGATTGTAATTTTGAAGGTGTACTTGATTAGCAATTGATGACTAATCTGCATATAAACATTGACCGCTGTGGATAGTAAAATATCAATTAATAGTTCATAGTAATTGGCTAAATAATTTCCTGTCCCAGGTATCTCTGATTAAAAGTGGACGAAAATGCCAATTTATACACTTTTAAGACAACTATATTGCCACTTCAGTCTTTACAGTAATTTTCGTTTTAAAATGTACTTTTGATAAGTAAGGCTTGATATTGTCATAGTTGTTTTTGGATTAAGACAACTCTTACTAATCCAATTAGAAGTTGATTCTAAAACTATCACATATTGATTGATTTAAGCAAAAAATTTTAGTTTCAATTGTTGTCTCGCATTAGAGGTATATATTTATATATAAAAGTTAAACTCTACGACATATCCATGCATATGATCACCATTAAAGGTGATACACGGCTGAAAACACATTTTATATCAATAATTACTTTGAATATGTATATATGTGTAGACCAAGCTCTCTGAAGGAAGGTCTTTACAGGTTGTTCTTATGTCGTGCTGTTGCACTACTGTCCCAGGCTTAGGGGGTGGGGGTTGAGCACTCATTCTTTATGTGCCTGTCCCATGTCAGGAGCCTGTGGTTCACTTGATGTCGTTGGTTCATATCTGTTATATTTGTTTTTCGTAACTTGTTTTGTTTTAAATAAGGCTGGTAGTTTTCTCAATTGAATTGTTTCATATTTTTCAAGTTGGTTCCTTTTATAGTCGACTATACGGTATGGATTTTTCTCATTGATGAAGGCCGTACGGTTGCCTATCATTGCTTACATCAACTTCATTTCTTATTGGCAATCATACCATATCTCCTTATTTTTTTGGGTTTTTTTTTTTTTAATTAAATACGTTTAATATTCTCAGGTAATTTAACATTTAAGAATCAGCTTTCAGTACCTGGGGGTCCTTTAAGATCGGTACTCTGTGTCTTTCATCATTAAAATGTAATTGTTTTGAGCTTGATTCAATATTGATTAGTTGAGCTATTTCCAACTGAATTTTACAGGTTTTTTTTTCTTATATTGTGCTGTTACACCAGAGTGTTGAGCGCTGGTAAACGCGTTTAATCAGGCCAAATTCTATATAGGCTTTTCCAAGTCAGATGCTTTCAATTCAGTGGATGTCGTTGGTTACTTTCTGTCATTTTTGTGTTAATTTTACTCTTGTAAAAATGTTTATTTTCGTTTGAAAAGTTTACATTTTCAAAGTTAATGCCTTATATACTAGTATCTGATAATACGGTATGAGTATTTGCTTATTGTTGACGACAGCCCGAGCCACTGTAGTCGTAATTCACACTATTTGGACTCTGTTTGATAGTTTGTCCCCAGGAGTGTAAGGAATAAATCGAAAAAAGAATGCATGCTATGCATGCTAAGCATACTAATGCTTTTGAAGAGAACAGTGAAAATATTTGTTGAACGGACAGACTAGCGGACGGACAGACAGGGTGATTGTAATATGAGTGCGGGTACAATATTTTGTCAGTGTATGTATCTTAGATGCTAGTGGTAAGGAAGTCTGGATCAAAACGGGGTAATCTTTACTTGTTAAAAAATATTTTTTACTATTTAGAATAATAATTGCATGCCTACTGGATATTAGTAAAATAGCAAGTCACAAGGATAATGGAAGCTGTGAAACACCATTTTACAATAAAAACTACGCTTTTAGATACAAAGAAACAAGGAGAAAATCAAACAAATTATGCAACAAAAAGTGATATCAAAACAAAACAAGTGTTGCTAGAATAATAATATATGCACTTAAAGCATAAAATATATAAACAGGTTTTTTTTAAATATGGAATTGACTGGTAGCAGGTCTGCCTCGATTACGGGTTCAATTATTTTGTTGAACAATTCGATCCAGCGAATCGCTATCATTTCATCATCCTTAATATATATGTAATATTTATCGCTGGATATAAGACATACATCAGTATCATCATCATCATAGATATTATCGCTTGAGGCTTAATCTTCGTCGTATTTATTATAGCTTGTGAGTTTTACAGCTTGAGGCTAAATTCTTATCTGATATTTTAGCCAATTTATGTCGAGAACTTATTTTATGCATGCATGTCTTTGCTACATAATTTTTATAAATGTCCAAGTTAAAGCCAATAGAGATCATAGAAGTATGTTTATCAAATGATCATGTCTACTCATAATTAAAACAGTAAGAAAGGGATTGACTCGTCCGACTAAAACGAAGCACAAAAAAAGCAATTGCTAGTATTTCAAAATAAACTCCATGTACCGATCTTAGAGTATTCATAGCTACTGAACACTATCTTAAAAACAACTACAACTAATAAATACAGAATAATTATCCAGTCTATAATATCAATCAATTATTTCGTACTGTTACACCACTGTCCCAGGTAAGTGGGCCCTTTAACATATTTAACTCCGCCACATTATGTATTGCGGTGACTATCCCAAGTAAGGAGCCTGTAATTCAGTGGTTATCATTTGTTGCTGTGCTTTCGTTCATTTTTTTGTACATTAATTAGGCCGTTAGTGTTATCGTTTTTGTTGTTTTACATTTGTCATTTTGTGGCCACTTATAGCTGAGTATTCGGTATGGTCTTAGCTCATTGTTGAAGGTCGTACGGTGGCCTATAGTTGTTAATTTCTGTGTCATTTGGTCTCTTGTGAAGAGTTGTCTCATTGGTAATCATACTACATCTTCTTTTTTGTACATACCACAAATTAAGTAAAAAAGTACATAAACACTCTAGAAAAGCAAGACCTTGTGCCATGTCAAAAGCACAGAGTGTCTGTAGGACCATTAGTGTTCATAACTGTATAGCAGATTATATGTGGTTTCTATAAAATGTAATGATAATTTATCAGTAAAAGATACATGATTATTTGATAGTGGGATTATATATAACTAAATAAATAAATATTTATATTAAAAGAAACATCAGAAACAAGAATATGTGTCCATTAGATTACACGCCAGTATCACATTTCCGTGTTAAGTGAGCTCAAAATCCAGGAAAAAATCCAATTCAGTATGTAGTCTTAAACTTTTAAATCTCGTGCGAGATGTCTAATGTTCAAACATTGTTGTTTTTAAAACGTATTTATCAAAGTCAAACGACAATCATTTAATTATTTTTTTGGTGCTATACAATTTGTGATTATGGCCGGATCTAAGATATTTGAAAGAGGGCGAAGTTCCCGATAATTGAATTTATACTGCCGAGCGAAGCAACGCGAAAAAATATTGGACGATTTTATACTAAACATTTGTATAGATAACGTGGAAAATGTGAGATGTTCAAAATTACTTGGCGATCGAAAGGGGGGAGTACGCCCTCTTCCCCCTGTATCTGCAAATGCACGTTTAGGTATACATGATCAAAACCTCGTCCCGTGCATTATTATAATTAAAGACTTAAAAAGTACTTTTGATAAATGTATCAATGATATGAATTTCTGCCCACGTCAAATTATCTTGAATTAAATTATAGAAAAATAATTATTTTTAAAAGTTAGTCGCGTACACCTTTGACATTCGGGTGTGTTGGAATCCACTTTTTAAACGTTAAAACTTATAAAAACAAAAAAAGAGATAACCTTCTCGCTTCGGATTTCATTATTTCAATATTTTCATGCTAAATGTTTACTTGGTAGTTTTTAAAATTCATATGTTGAGAAGAACTGAAATATGGGTCAAGTGAAATGACAAGAAATGATGGGTGTATTTGATTATAAGTTGCTAGCTTATTTATTCCATTAAAATAATTTTGTCAATAAAATCGCTTAAACATTTAATAAAAAAATATTTAAAGATTACAAAAAGTAGTTGGGGTTGATTTTTACATTAAGTTTATATCAGCAAAAAATGCGTGTTCAAAGAGCAAAAAATGCATGCAGTGTATGCTCCCCTCCGTCCTGCTTTGATGCATTAGGACGATATACGTTGAGTTAGGTCGGTTACGTCGAGTAAAGTCATTTTATTGGAAATCTCTATTACACGTTGTATGTAAAAAACAACTTCACAAATATATCATATACCAAATTCATATAATAAAAGACACGTTTAAAAATCTTGACTTGCCTCCTTATTCGGACCTATTTATTAAAGAGATACGACCATCTCAAATTTTCATTACGACCATCCTCATCATTTTTGTTGTTTGAGTTTATGTATCAAATTTTATTTCAATATCAAAGCACTCACGATTAGTATGTATGAAACAAACGGTTTAGCTCGAATAAACCTTTTACTGCACGATAATCGTAAAAGAAAAACTGACCTCCAGAGTTGTCTTCAATTTTCGGCTAACCGTAACTTTACATTACGACCATCCGCTTACCACCGGTGAGTTGAAGCCGAATTCCGAATGCTCTCGCTGCATTGAAGACCGATTAAAGTCCTTCGGCTCTTTGTTCAGGTTGTTGTCTCTTTGACATATTTCCCATTTTCATTCTCAACTTTATGTACACCTTACAATCAGTACATACACCAAATACTGTTGACTTATTGCATATAGCTATATAATATCTGACAAATAGACCAGACCACGAAATTTTATAAGAAGTGCCAAGAATAATAAACAATGCATGTGTACTCTTTAAATGTGCCAGCGTTTCGTTTATATTTTAAACAGGAAACCGTCTAGTTAACATAAACATTAATATAAAAACACAGACACAGACACGCATCTGCAAATATATAATGATGTTTTTTTTATTTTTGTTTGATTCCTTGTCCAAATAAATTTTATAAAATGTGGTAATCATTGTTTTACCTGTTTACACTGATTTTTGTTCCCGGCGTCGCTCCATTGTGTCACTTTTCAGTGTTGACTTTTTTTTTTGAAAACTGAACATGCTTAGCACATACATAACCCATTTCCAGGTAAGAGTCAAATTGATTGTAGCTTGGAGGTGAAATAAATGAGGTTTAGTTATTGCGTTGCAATGTTTGAAGATATTCTATTGTATTGTCTAAGCCATAGCTATAACCATTGTAGCATTGAATAATGAACCATGAAAATTAGTTTAACATCAAATGATGTCGTACATATTAACGAAATCATTCTATAAATCATTGTTGACCAATTTTTAACTGTATCTGAGATATGGACCTAATCCAAAATCTTTAACCACTGATCCATCATACCAAGGTCCGATGGATTTTGTCTGTAGATATTGCAAGGACTAGTATACAAAATAAAGTTATCCTGTTACTCATTATAAATAATAAATCACATGGTAAAAAACTTGTACACCGTACAATAATTCGACCTCTGTCTCCAGCTGTGCTGCATTCCTATGTTTTCCATTCTGCAACTGTCGTAACAGGCGAGACAATAAAACAATCAAAAACATATATATATTCTGTAATTGATTATCATAAGTGTGGTTATGGCCATCAATTAGTATGGTGTCTTATTAATTTATTTCAAATGTCTCAAAAGGTAACTAAAATTCGGTTAACAAATTACATGTATACATACTCCAGTTATATCAGTCCATGCCGTGATGAGGAAACTATTGTCTATCTTGGCTTCATGCAGATGAGCCAGGTAATTCCTGTAATGTTTGATCCTTGCTAAATCTGCAGCTGGTGTCACTTCTATTGCTGAAGGTAAACGATCAAATCCACAAAGAGGAGGGGTCAATGGAGTCAAGTTTCTCAGTAATAGTGTCATCAAAGTCACATCGAATGTTTTAGAATCTGGAACATCTAGATTATACATCAGATAATAAAAGTAACCAGAAGTAATGTGAGTTTAAAAGACTGGCAAAGTCCTTGATATTGATAAACAAACCTATCTCGATGAACAATCTATACAAAACTATATAAAATGAGGAGAGGGGTTCCCTGTACACATCCGAATTCGGATGGTTTGGGGGGCATAAGTGGACTACAATTGCTGAAAAGTGAACAGATTTGTAATTGGTCATCAATCATATCAATACAGTAAATTTCAATATCTATGCTATCGCCTTTTTTGTTCCCAAATTTTTATAGCAGAGCGTGCACCTTTTGTTATTGTAGAAAATATTTATTATTAATGACTAATTTGAGGAGTTAGCTACAGAGACAGCTTATATGTTCTTTAAACTGCATGCCGACGATGCAAATTACTTTACTTCAACATGCTTGATGTTCGATTTATACATGAATTTTATAAACATCAGCTCCTGTTTCTTCAATATCCTGGGCATCTCTACTAAAAGTTTTGCGAGAGTTGCAGATGCAAACAGATTTTTTTTCTTTTTTGAAACCCCAGAAATCGTTTTAATAAAAAAAAAAGTTTCAAGTGGAATGTGCACTGCTTTCGGAGGAGTTGTAAATGGCGGATTTATTAGTCATTTTATGAATTAAATGAAAAGACAAAGTCCATGTTCATTTAAAATGTACTTCGGGTAACGCATTTACGCCCCAATGAATTTACAAAAAGAAGCATTCAATTCTGAATTGGAAAACCCAGAAATCATTTTAATCAAAATGAAAATAGATGTTCAAGTAAATTTTCTAATATAGATTACTAGTATGTGAAAGTTCCGCTGAAATTCATTCCTTTGGATTATTAGAAATTGGTCAAGATAACAAATAAACTAAGGCACAGAAACCCTAATAACTAAATACCCCCAATGTGAAGGTAATATAAGGGTAAATGCAATGGCAAGTCTGGTCAATAAATATGTTGTTCAAAATTAATTGGGAAATTCACCTTGTTCACTGGAGTATAGTCTGGTAATTCATTCATTAAATTTGTGAATATACAATACCAAAGATTCAAAGGAACCTAATTTTAAGACTTTGAAAAAAATGCAGTACTGTTATACCACTTCCACAGGTTTATAGGAGGGTTACTGAAGCTCACAAATATGTTTAATATCACAACAAGCCAGGAACAAGGAGTATTTGTAATTGGTTTGTGTCTTCCTTCATAAATCAAGCCATTCATTTTCCCCTTTTTTGTTTTCAATACCAATTAGACCTATTATTGTGTACTACAGTTTGGGTTTTATTTATTGTTGAAGGCAGTTCTGACATCTTTGGGATATATAGTATATACAGCCTTTTAGGTCTTTGGTGTAGAACTAGTTTGTGGGTTTTATTCACTGTTGAACGCAGCCCTTTGGAGCTTAGTTTAGTATTTAGGTTTTACTCGTTGTTGACCTCAGCCCTTAGTCTTTGGTGTAAAATATGGGTTTAATTCATTGTTGAAGCCAGCCTTTTAGTCTTTGGTATAGTTCATTGGTTTTATTCATTGTTGAAAGCACATACAAGTTTGACTTCATATGACCTTTTCTGATACCAAAATTTGATATCAGACATTTTAAAACTGTTTTTGAAATAAAGATCTCAGTTAAAGGTGTTAGTGTTTTGTACATAATTGAAGAAATTACAGATCTATGTTGCTATTGAGGGAATGAACATTTGTTTTGACCATTGAAAGTCATAAATTACATAAAAAAAATAGCCAATGGGAGTGTCACAATACTATTTTATGATGCTGGAAAGCCAATCAAATAAAAATATTTTTGGTAACAAATTTTCATATCATACTCTGATCAATGTGATTTCATAAATATCTCTAAATCCGAGCCAAAAATAACAGGCCACGATCATATAAATAATCATTGTATCATAATCTTAGCAATGAAAGAAAATGATACTGTATACTTAACATTTAACATCTGGATATTTTCAAAGTGGGTTGAGTCCTATTAAGCCCAATTTTGAACAAATTTAAACAGACTTTCATTTGAAATGCTTAGGTATGCAACAATATTTCATAAATGTATATTATCTGATTAATTCCTGAAGACAACAAGGCAAGGGCACATCAAAAGTTTTATTTTCAGGAAACCAGAAAATCCTATTTTTTCCGCCTTTTTTACCTAATTCCTAATATTTTTGGCCATGACCCCAATAAGCAATCGCAACCTTCCTTTTGAGGTATGGAACCTTGAGGTAAAATTTCATAGAGATCCATACACCTTTACACAAGGTATTGTTCTGAAACAATTAAAATGCTTGTTTTTGGTTACTTTTTGGCCCATTATTCCTTAACAGCTAGGACAATAACCCGTAAAATTAAACCCAACCTTTCTTATGTGGTAGGAAACATTATACTACAATTTCATAAGGATCTATACACTAATACACAAGTTAACCAAATGTCCTCAGAGGAGGACGATGACAGCGCTGACAACATGATAAAATGATAACGCAAACAAATTGCGGTCGCATAAAAATCAATAGTCAACCTGAAAAAAAATCCTATTGGTATCCCCCAGAATATCAAATGATTATCAATTGAACAGAAATTTTTCTATTAATATTACATCTGTATACTGCGGGTTAGTGTTCATTTACTTCATGAACTTAGTATACGTATTAGAAAAGGTTATTATAAAAAATAATTTCTGCACTTACCAGGAAATCTTGTAAAAAGAAGATTCCACTGTGACTTATTGATGATATGTTTCTTTTTCAAGTCAAACAATTTGTTATACTCTCTCTTTAATGTCGCATCTAAACATGCAGGAGCAAATTTACTATCAAAGAATGTTCTTGCTGCACGAGGAGAAATTCCTGTTAATAACAAACTCATTCGAACATAGTTATCTTCCTCTATAGAAAGAGATGCCATAATTAAGTCTTCTGTATTCCTTTGCTAAATATAGACGGATAGTAAAATCTTCTCTATTCCGTTGCTAAATATAGACAGATATTAAAATCTTCAATATTCCTTTGCTAAATATTGACAGATAGTAAAATCTTCTCTGTTCCTTTGCTAATTATAGACAGATAGTAAAGTTTTCTTTATTCCTTTGCTAATTAAGGACATATAGTAACGATTTCATTTTGCCTTTGATATTAACAGAGACAGTAAACTCTTCTTTATTCCTTTGCTATTTATAGATAGATATTAAAGTCTTCTTTATACCTTTGCTAATTATAGACGGATAGTCAAGTCTTCTGTATTCTTTTGCTATTTATAGACAGCTAGATAATAAAGTCTTCTCTATTCTTTTGCCAATTATAGACTTCTTTATTCCTTTGCTAATTTTAGACAGATAGTAGACTTCTTTATTCCTTTGCTCATTGTAAACAGATAGTAGACTTCTTAATTCTTTTGTCTATCATATACAGATAGTAAAGTTTCGTTTATTTCTTTGCTTAATTTAGACAGACAGAAGACTACTAATTATAGACAGATAGTAGACTTCCTTATTCCTTTGCTAATTACCGACCGATTTTAAAGTCTTCTGTTTACCTTTGCTAATTATAGTGAGATAGTAAAGTCTTATTTATTAGTATTCCTTTAGTATGCTTCTTTATAGTTAAGTAATTAGATATTTGATAACAACTCATAGCACTAAAGTTGGCAAAAATCTTGGTTGTTGTCCTTGTTATGAAGAAAACCACTTTGAAATCTGGTATATTTACTGCAAAATAAGGAATAAATGAACTTAAATGTCTGAACAGGTCAATTTGATGCTTATTATGATAATTCCTGTACTGATTTGTTTTGTCTCCTTTATGTACATTTTGCATTTAACAAATTGTATAACATACAATAACATATTAAAAATTCATGAAAATTATCATTTAAAGGCCAATTACAATTTTTATTCTGTGGTTAGTCACCACTTCGGTGTTGACATGTATATCAATTATATGGTCATTTTTTATAAATTTACCGTTTGCAAAAGTATGAATTATTCTAAATACTGAGGATTTTCTTGTCTCATGCAGATAATATTAGCCGTATTTGGCACAACTTTTTGGAATTTTGGGTCATCAATGCTCTTCCTCTTTGTTTGGCTTTTTTTTTTTGTTTACTATATTGACCTGAGCGTCACTGATGTATCTTATGTAGACGAATGTGGTATGGGTTTCGGTCATTATTGGAGGCTGTATTGTAACATATAGTTGCTAGCTTTTACGTTACTTTGTCTCTGCTGAAAAATTATCTCAATAGCAAGCATACCACAATTTCTAATTTTTATACATCAACCAATTAACTCATCATGATTATTTTGCCATTTTTGTAAATTTTATAATTCAATGTATTGATGATAATGTTTGCTGCTTACAGTATAGGTCTACCCGTTTTGTTTCCATGCTTTTTAAAGCTGAGATATATGTAAGTCTCTAATCTCTTTCCGGCCAAAATTCTCTGTTTCTCATCAACTATGTTTCTTTTTATATACGGCGTCAATGCTCTTCAACTTCGTACTTTATTTGGCCTTTTTAACTTTCTTTACTAAAATCTGTGTCCTTTCTTTACTAAAATCTTTTCAACAAACATTTTAAAGTCAGAATAAAGAAGACGTCATCATGTGTATTTGACGTCATGGATAAAGGCAACAGTAGTATACCGCTGTTCGAAATTCATTAATCGATTGAGAAAAAAACTAATCCGGGTTACAAACTAAAACTGAGGGAAACACATCAAATATAAGAGAACTACGACACAACAGAAACACAACACTAAAATGTAACACACACAGAAACGAACTTTAATATAACAATGACCATTTTCCTGACTTGGTACAGGACATTTTAAGAAAAAAATGGTGGGTTGAACCTGGTTTTGTGGCTAGCCAAACCTCCCACTTTTATGGCAATGTTAAATATAACATTAAAATGACAACATTACATGACAGGACTACAATACAAATAAATGGGAGAACATATAGAACAGAGAAACAC